ATCCACGCCACTACTAAAAGAAACCTCCGACTTGTCATAGTTAATTTTCTGCTCGGATGCTGCTTCATATTTGTTGAAAATATCAATGGCTATTAAGCATTCCTGTCGATGGGCTCTAGTAAACAATAGACTATCATCTGCAAAAAAAAAGGTGAGATATTTCCGGCCCACCTCTGCTAGCCCTGGCACCATGTAAATTATTTTCCTGTATTTTATTCTGGATCATTCTAGAGAAAGCATCAGCAACAAGAATGAATAAATACGGGGAAAGAGGCTCTCCTTAACAAAGACCACGAGTAGGTTCCACCTCACCACAAATTCCACCATTCACTACAAACGATTAAGAGACAGATGTAACCAAGCTCATTACCAAGTTGACCCATCTACCATCAAAACTCATTGTCAGCAGATGTTTTCTCAGAAGACCCCACTCCACCCTATCATAGGCTTTGCTCATGTCGAGCTTCATAGAAATCAAGCCTTTCCGAATACGATTTCTTTTCTTCATAGATTGGAATGTTTCCAGAGCAATCAGAGCATTATCAGTAATCAATTTGGCCGGCACAAAAGCACTCTGATTTTCCGACACAATATTCGGCAAATGGACTTCAATCTGATAACCAACACTTTCGACGCCAATTTATATATAACATTACAGAGAGCAATGGGACGAAATTCAGTCATGTCAGAGGGGGATTTAACTTTCGGAATTAGGACAATGTTGGTATTATTCACACACGAAGGAGATATTAGACCATGGAGCATATTACCAACAAAGAGAAAAACATCATCACCAATAATATGCCAGAACCGTTGGTAAAAAAATAGCATACATACCATCAGGGCCTGGGGCTTTGCAGGGTTGCATTTGTTGAAGAGCGGAGAAAATTTCCTCCTCTGACACTGGCGCTAGCAACTCACGATTTTGCTCCATGGAGATGCATTGGGGCTCCTGAAGGGTTACTTGTGGTGAAGAGACCCTCATAGTAACTCGTTATGATGCTTGCAATATCCTTCTCATCTTTCTGCCAAACCTCCTCGTTATCATAAAGACCCTCAATGTGATTTCGTTTCTTTCGTTGGGATGCTTTGTGGTGGAAATACTTCGTAGCACAGTGGTCAGATTTGACCCGTACCAAATGTTCCACACATGCTCTCGGAAATAAGTCAAGCCACGATTGGGAAGCTAGGTAGTGATCCAACCTTTCCCTCACTCTAGTCTCCTTTGACACACCTCTCTCCCAAGTATACCATTGGCCTTCAAAGCCAATATCACGAAGATTGCACAAGTTCAACACCTCCCTAAAGCCATTAATCTCCCTTCGCACTCTATTCGCACCCCCATCTTTCTCACCATAGCCCAGAATTTCATTGAAGTCGCCACCAAAGAGAATAAGCACCTCCTCTTCACACAAATGTCGAATGAGAACCCAAGTCTTATGCTTTTCCTCCTTCTTCGGGTAACCATACACCCCAACGAATCTCCAAGAAAACGTGCCATTAACTGAGACATCCCCACAAATGTGGTTTTGTGAGAATGACTTAAGAGAAAATTCCAACTCATCCTTCCAATAAAGACACATACCACCCGAATTTCCTCTACTAGATACACCAAATGCACACGAAAAACCAAAACGGTCCTTTAAATTCTCTAGTTCATTTTTATTGATCATAGTTTCCAACAAGAAAATCAAGTCGGGGGTAAAGCGGTTGCTCCATCTACGGAGCTGACGAATTGACTGGGAGTTACCCATCCCCCGGCAGTTCCAACATAGAAGACTCATAATGAGGGGTGGGGTTGGTCATCGCCAACCTCCGCCAACATGATATAATCTGATGAGTCAAAGAAGTTCTATTTGATCTTCTTACAATCCCCTCCTCTCTCATCAACTTCTCTATTGGCAGCATCACTAGTCCTTTTAAGAGAATTAAGGGACCCTCCTTCAGGTACTCGATCTGTCATTTTCTTCCTGTCCACCCTCCTCACTTTTTTGCCCAACTTACATTCCTCATTCAGCACATGAGTATCCACCACAAAAGTTCTCACATTGGTCATATTTCCCTCAAAAGTGGACTCCACCTCAGCACACTAGAAGATGTCACCTTTTCTCCCTCGTCATTCGAATCAGCCCGAGGGTGATTTAGAAGAATCACAAGTCGTACTTCTTCCCTGTTTTCCTCTTCTTTATTGGTTTTAGAGATGTCACTCTCTTTAGTCACAAAAAGAGAGCGTTTACAAGCAGGGAGCTCACTCATCTCTTCTATTTCCTTCGTGCGCCCCCTCCTTGGTGAAGCTTTGAGCTAAGTGCCCCGCCCTAGACCCTTCTTCTTCTCCTCTTATGTTATGGCAGTGAATGCCCCATTTTGCCGCAAGCAAAGCAAAAAAACGGGAGTCTCTCATAAGCAAATTCAATTATCACCTCCTTACCCCTTTTGTCAATAATCTTCTGAAAACGCCGCAATGGTCTTATGACATCCATAAGTAAACGAACTCGTCGGAAAAGATCCAGGCCTAAAGTATCCTCCTCTATTTCAAGTAACTCACCCATCCTTCCAGTGATAGCTTTGACATGTTTATTCGAGCGGCAATTAAAAGGCAAGCCCTTGATTCGCACCCAAAAAGGCAAAGTTCGGAGTACTACTTGTTCTGGTTATTCATCCTCCTCCACTTCCTTCAGTAGAATAAGGATATTGTCAAAACACCATGGTCTTCCCATTATACACCTTCTCCTTATCCCTCCAATGGAAAAGTTAGAAGGCAAACAAATTGGGTCCTAAAACCCTAATTACCAATTTGTGGGATGGCGCCCAAATTTTCAGCATTGTTCTTTTGAAGGCCTCCACATTGAAAGGCCTCTCTGTGAGTAATTTCTCCACCAACAATAGTTCTAGGTTTTCTAGTCGTCGGAATTTCGCCAAGGTCAACAACTCCACCGCCATCGTCATCTAATTTGAGTCCAGAGTAACGCGAAATAAGATTGTCTGTCATTTTCACCAGAGAAAACTGCTAAGAAACCAACAAACACCGCCTAGAAAACGGTAGCGCAGCCTATCAGGGTAGGGAGGATGCCCTTTCTTTCAAGGGAGTTTAAAAAGTGGTTTTAATTAAAGTTGTAACTTTGTTAGGCTGAAACCTTTACTTAGGATTAGCACTGTCAAAAACCGAACCGAACTGGTGAAACCGAACTGTTTCAACCGATCCGAATGAGAACCGAACCGATTAAAAACCGATTTTATAAAATCGAAAACCGACCCGAACCGTATGTTAGTAAAACCGAAACCGAACCGATCCGAGTAAACGTTAAACCGTTTAAGAACCGAACCAAATCTAAACCGAACTGAAAGGAAACCGAACCGAAAATGAACCGAACCGTTTCTAACCCGAAACCGTTTGAACTGACATAAAAATCGTTTACACCGAACCGTTTACAAACCGCAACCCGTTTGCACCGAACCGTTTATAAACCGAACCGTTTATGAACCGAACCACTTATAAATCGAACCGTTTACAAACCGCTTATAAATTAATTACATTTCTCGAATCCCGATAAAACGATATATACCTTCATAATATCAGCTTTTATATTTTTTTTTAACACACACATTAACTTATTAAGTTATTTAAAGTATAAAATGTGAATCGGTTAGCGTGTAAATGTCTAGCGTTGCGATTAATAAAAAAATCGAATACCGTATAATAATATAATGACGTCATATATTAGAGAGTTAGAAGTACTACGGATTTGTTATATGATTATATTTATATCAGTTTAGCTATGTCTGTAAGCAATACACTTGTAATCGTGTAAACTTATAAATGATAGAATTGACTAGTAGATTAGTACATAAATACAAATACTTAATTAGATATGACTACATGAGTGATTGACTAATATGACTATATGAGCAATTATCAATTTAGCATAATTGCATAACAGATTAATTAACAGTGTAGTAGACCATCCTACTCGGTAATATACTAATAGCATTTCAGTATTTGATCTATTAGACTCAAGTTAAAAGTTACTCTTTCTTATTAACTTGTTAGTCTAATTAAGAAATTAGTAATTATTAATTAATGACTTAAGCCTCAGGGTGTAAACCAGTAAAGGATATACAAAAATATAATAATCTTATGATTCTCATCCCTTTATACTAATAAATATTTAACTATGAGAATATGAGATGGTTAGATGTTATGTATATGTATAATCGATTGAAAGAAGAATCAATATTACCTTCTTATTCATTAATGTTTTCTTTCATTATACAAATAAAACTACTTTGTAATATCTTCATATATAACTTTATGCAAATATATAATGATAAACGAGTCTTGATTAATAGTCTTGTTGACTAATTAAGAACCGAACCCGTTAACGAACCGAACTAAAATAAAACTGAAACAAAAAAGAACCGAACCGTTTCTAACCCGAAACTGTTTGAACCGGGATAAAAACCGTTTACTCCGAACCGTTAACAAACCGCAACCCGTCTGCACCGAACCGTTTACTACCCGGACCGTTTACAACCCGAACCGAATTTAAACTGGGATAAAAACCGTTTACACCGAACCGTTAACAAACCGCAACCCGTCTGCACCGAACCGTTTACTACCCGAACCGTATACAACCCGAACCGAATTTAAACCGTGGTTCGAATAAACCGAAACCGAATCGAACTGATAATTATTTAAACCGAACTGAAACCGACCCGTAAGACTTTTGAACCGATTTCAAACCGACCCGATTTCAAACCGAACCGATTTCAAACCGAACCGAAACCGAACTGTCAAACCGTTTTGACAGTACTACTTAGGATAATAGGAACAAAAGTCACAAAACCTTGTTTGTAGGAGGGGAATAATCGAATATATAGTGATAATTAGAGAATATATCCACTTTTCTTTAAAAATTCCTCTATTGTATAAAAAAAAATGGTTAAAATTTTTATTTAATTTTTTAATTTATTTTGGTAAAAAAAAGTTTAAAAGTTAAGGGTTATGCACTAACAACCACTAAGGTCAGGTCAGCCGTCAGTTGCTGAGGAATGCTGACACACTCAAAAGCAAAGCTAAAAAAATGGTGGGCATTTTTCATTTTTCTCTCTCCTAAAATCAAATCCAACGGTTCAGATTTCTCCTCTGACTTGACAACTCATAATCCAACGGCAAACAAATCTGACATCTGTCACCGATCCCCATAAAAAAATAAAATTAAAAAAAAGGAATCCACCTGATTGTAGAAAAAACCAATTTTCTCTCTCCTCTGATCATCACAATTCTCTCGAGGGTTTTGCCTCAACTTTGACCCCCTCTTCTTCTTCTTTTTCCCCAAAAAACCCAGAATTTTTTCTTCGATTTTCTTTCATATAAATCTTAATTATTTTATTAATTCTTCATCACTTATTCTTCTTTTTGTTGGGTAAGTTTTAATTTTACTAATTGTTGTGTTTAATTAGTTAATTGCTTTTGGAATTTGTGCTTAATTTAATTTATTTTATTTCTTAATTTAGTAATTTTGTGTTGTTTGTTTCAATGAAATTGGGTTTATGTGGGAAAGGGGGATAAAGGGTTTTAATATTTATGAATAAAATGAATTCTTTGTAATTGGGAATCCCTATTAATTTTTGGTGCTATTTGTTTAATGTATTCTGGGAGGCAAATTATAGATTGGAGTGATTGTTATTATTTTGATGAATGTTAAAATTATAGTTTAATTTTGTCTGATTCAGCTTATGAAGTGTGAGACTTTGTTAGAATTTGCCCCTTTTCCCCAATTCTTAAAAAAAATATGTTCTTTACTTGCCTTAATTGGGAGAATTAGGATTTGATGAATTATGGGTTTGATTCTATGTATGGGATGGACTGAGATGTGCTTGAGAAAAGAAATAAATTTTTGGGTAGGTGACTTTTGTGATTTCTTAAGAAGAGTTGCTCAGAAACTGAGGGTATTCTTTGTTTGACTTTGGAGTTTAGATGTGATGCTTGGAACGGATACACCATTAGCAACAAGGGTTAGTGCGGTTTTGCGATGTTTGTGGCTTGTGACTTAGAGGTACAAATGTATGCAATCTAAGGTTATTTGGAGGTGGTTCAGGGTTTAGGCTGTAATGAATTACATCCTCGGTACTCTAATGGATCGAGGTGTACACTTGATTTTTGACATTGAGGATTGAAGACAAGGGTTGTGTGAAATAATCAATTGCTTCAGTACATGACCTTTTCCTTAGGGGAAGATTGCAAAATTGTCTGGCTAAATTTCAGCAAAATGTAGTTTAGAATGCTTGCACTTCTCTAGACTTTGCTGGGACGTTTGAACCATTTAGCTTTTGCTGGGTAGATATTAACTTCAATTGTGTGCCAGCTAAATCGGAAAATTGTCATCATTTGAGTCCATATGTCGAACTAATTTGGCTTTTGCCTTGGTTTCCAACATAGTTGTGTTGTCACAGTCACGATTTCTGATGTAGGAGCTTTTTTGAGAAATGTATTATTTTTGAACTTCTGAATAATATTGGTATAGGATTTTTGAGTTTTTGAGACTATAATCTGAATTATGATTGTAAAATGGTGCAGCTTGTAAGTGTCCAAGAAGATAACCATCTCAGTGGTCAATTCAGTTTGTTGACAGACAGCATAAATCCTTAGTTTGGAATGCCTTAAGATCAACTTGCTGAATTTGCTTCTTTAAAATTCTCCCAATGGTTACACAAGAGGAAAACGCTGTGCTTGTATCTCCTAAAGATAAATTGGAGCAGAGATTGAGCCCTGATTCTACAATAAATGCTTCCAGTACTGATCGAGAAGCTATTGTCCCTGAAAAACCATCTGAAGATGGATATAATTGGAGAAAATATGGGCAGAAAAATGTCAAAGGAAATGAATATATAAGAAGCTATTACAAATGTTCACATCCAAACTGCCAGGTGAAGAAACAAGTGGAGCGATCCCAGGATGGGCGGATCACAGATATTAATTACTTGGGAGAGCATGATCATGCTAAACCTCATTCTGATCCCCAAGTATCTGTTCCCTCTCTTCTGTCCGTTAAAGTACAGATACCAGATTGTCCACCAGCTGCTGATGAAGGTAAAAAGGATATAATATTTGATTTCTTAAGCTTAAGAATTTATGAAACTTTTTTTAATTACCTCTTCATATTCTCCAATCTGAAGATAAACCATCAGATGTGCAAGCCCTTGCAACTGGTCATTTTCAGAAAGTGGATTTATGTGAGCATGCTATAGTTAAGGTGGCTGATGATGCTACACCTGTACCTCTCACACCATCAAGTCAATCAAGGGATGATCATAGTGAAAACTTTACCCTGAAGAGACGGTATGTTGGAACATCTGGTTCATCTGTATGCTTGCTTTTGTTGGTCACGTTGTGTTTGTTCTTACTTGTCTGCAACTTATGATTTGAAAATCATGATCCAAAACAGGAAGAGAAGCATTGATGGTGGTGACAACACAGCAGAGAAGCCCAGTCATGAATCACGGATTGTCGTCCATACAGTTAGTGAGGTTGATATCGTCAATGATGGGTTCAGGTGGCGGAAGTATGGACAGAAAATGGTCAAGGGAAACCCTAACCCAAGGTATACGCTGTATACTCTTTCCAGTTACATGATCCCTGTGAGTCTTAGGATAGACACAAACATGATAAATCAAGAACTGATAATACCTACTATTGTCACCTAATTTAGAGTTCCTACATCTTTTTTATTACAGTGATATATAGTCAATCAGTTTAACAATGAAATTGATCTTCTTATCTATTATTTTTCTTATGCACAATTGCAGTAAGATCATGAATGAAAATAATTAAATGATATGCCTTTTTTCTGATCAATTATCTTGTACTACAGTGTTATGAGCTCTACTGCATTTGACTGTACAACATCACAACCATGTAGGTCCTAGTGTTTTCATTGCCTTATTACACAGGGCTTTAATATTTAGTCATCTTTTATTGTGCTTTTGTTCTTAAAAGAGTCGTGAGGATACTGAGAAGGGGAAATCTTATGACTATTTTTCAATACTTGGCGTTCTAAGTAGTAAATTTTAAGTTTGCTGTCCTGAAGATCTTTTAGAAAAACTGGCAAGATATCTCATTAAAATATACATAGGCATCATATGTACTTTATATTTATAAAGCGGTCAGTTTAATCTTAATTAGAAAGCATCCAACTTTGATAAGCTAGCTAGCTTACTCGGTTTTTCTGATGCTCCTCATTTACTGTCTTAGCTCTCAAGAATCCTGTTGCAATTAGGAACATCATGTGCTGATTTGGAAATCTAGATCCTTTTTCATTGTTTCCCAAATTAAATTGTTGACCTGACCCTTTTTTCTTGTCTACAATTCCTCCCCCCCCCCCCCTCTCTTTTTTCTTTTGTTTTCAATACAAGTTCTTGTAAATGATGCTCCTACAATCTGCTTTTGTCACTTCGGTTTCTTCCTACTCTAAATTTTGTGACACTTTCCTCTGCTTAGCCCTTGTGTCATATAGTATAAATAGTGTAGACAATTACCTATTGCCTCCTACTAGGCTCCAATTTGGTTGGGGTAAGTTTGATGTGTACAGCCATATTTGTTCAATTGCAAGGAGGCTCTTAGTCTTAAATCCACCCGTACAATGGCAAAGAGTTCATATGGTAGATTCCTTGTATCTGGATTCAATTAATTGGCCAATTATCTCACAACAGTTCGAGAAATATCAGAAGTTAAGACAATTGATTTTAGTCTGCTGCAATTCAGACTAAAGTTGTGAAACTTTCCATTTACAGTCCTGTCAAAAAATCAAAACTGTAAATTATTGTATTCTTTGTCAAGTATAGCCATGATTCAGTCATAAGTTTAGAAGGCATAGCTTAGTGAATACTTCATTATTATAATACTTATAAATGGGCTATGAATCTTTGTCAAAATTTTGCCGAATTTTCATTCTAGTATTTTCTTGTCCTGCTTTTTGGCTGCATTAAAGTATTTCTTGTGCAACACAGTGTTTTTAGTATTGCTCTTAGCTACCATTGAATTGACAAGGGTTACCTTGGGGAATCTCATGTAATTAATTATAAAGCGCTCTTTCTTTTTCATATTTACTCATCACCACCTCTTTCATGTTTGTAGTTTGTTGGATTTAATCTCTTTTATATTTTTCTGAACTGTTATTATTTAGGAGTTACTACCGGTGCTCGACTACGGGGTGCCCAGTTAAGAAACACGTTGAAAGGGCCTCGCATGATCCTAAAGTAGTCATCACCACGTACGAGGGTGAACATGATCATAGTATGCCTCCTATAAGGACAATTCTTCCCCAGACTGCAGGAGCTTCTGTGGGTGAGACAGAGTCTAATGGCATGAGTAAATCCAAGTCAGAAGAAGGGGATACAGTTCATGATGCTGCAATAACAGGTAAACCCGAAAAAGGTGATTCTGTTGATCCTATTACCAATGAAAAAGAAAACAATTTAGCAATTGTGATGAGGGCTGAAGATGCTATTACTGGATCCACTGAGCAAAAAGCCAATCATAAAGCTGAGAGATCTGAACATAATTTTCAAATTGCTAAGGAGGAAATCGATCAGACTGTTAGTAAAGATCAGATGGTCAAACAAGAGAAAGTTGCTTCAAGTCATGTTGATACGAAGCCAGAAGCTATATTATCTGAGGCAAAAAAACCTGATACAATCGTTGATATGAAACCAGAAGTTGTATCAACTGAGGCAAAAAAACCTGATACAATCGCTAATAAGAAGCCAGAAGTTGTATCAACTGAGGCAAAAAAACCCGATACAATAGTTGATATGGAAGTTGTATCAACTGAGGCAACAAAGCCTGATACAATCATTGATATGAAGCCAGAAATTGCATCAACTGAGGCAAAAAGACCTGATGCAATAGTTGAAAGCTCTCGTGCTGAAGCAAAGTCAAATGGACTACAAAGGCCTAATACAGAAGCTGTCAACTGCTAAATACGTTGTTATTGCTGATTGAAGTCATAGCTGATAGAGGATTGTTGTAGACACTGGCATTCATTGACGTAGAAAACGCTGCAAGTGGAGGAGTATTCTGGAGGTGTTTTAAACATTGTAAATAAATCTAATTAGACAAAGGGGAGCAGCCATATAGCCTGAGGAGTCTAATTTAATTATTGAGAATAAAAATATCATAGATTTCCCTTCAAAAATGTCTCATAGTTGGAAGTTGGAAGTGCTATTTGATTGTATTTAGTGTATTTCCTGTGGATATGTACCAAATGGATGAATCTGTAAGTTCTCTATAGTTTGATTATGGGAATGACCATTGCTTTGGATTTCCAGATTAAGGATCAATTCAATTTTCGAGTTGTCTTTATAAGCTTCGATTGAACATGGTAAGCATTTGATGTGATACGAGTAAATTACTTTTTGGTTACTTATGTCTTTTATTGGTTACTCTCATGTCTCATCATCAAGAAATTGTCGGTCTTATCATCCCTCGGCATGGCATGATCGTAATGGAGTAAGCAATGATTTCTCATAATTAGGGCGGGACTTCAGACTTCACTCTAACAGTGTGTTTGAATAAAGAAAAGAGAAGGAAAAGAAGAGGAAAGAGGAGAAGAGGAGGGGAGGGAAAGGGAGAGGGAAGAATGGTGAGTTTTCCTTTCAAATCTCTCCATTGTTGGAGGTATTAATTTCCTACAATTTAATTCCTCCATTTTTCTCCCCTCCAATTCCCTTCCTTCCTCATGATATCTCATCTTTACATTTCCCTTCCCTTCCTTTCTCTCCATTTTCTTCAATCCAAACACACCGATTGGAGTTCTGAAATTGAGGCTGAAAAGTTATGGAAAAGCTGTTTCTTTTTCTTGCTCTTTCATTCAAGCAAAATTACATAAATGGGAGTTGCCTCCTCAAAACAAAAGGGAGCTTAAGGGCTGCTGTTGCAAACCTGCAACTTCAATAAGCAGTAGAAACTAATTAAGAAAATGCATAAAAGAACAAGTTACAACGTGATTTATCGGCTTCAGATTTTATGCAAAGAAATCAATAGGCAAAACTAACTACATTGCCAAGCACAAGAAGCAACCAAATCTCTATTCATCCATCCAAGATAAAGAGCTCCATCCCTTTCTTCTAACCTATACCTATCACAATAATTCTTCAGCAGTGTCTTTATTGTGCTATTTACCAAAACGCTCAAAGGGTAAGGCTTAAACCCTGCCATTGTAAAGCGCGATCTCCACTTTCCAAGTAGTTCATGGCGCTCCACCCTCTCGGCTCCCTCACAAGCTATCAAATTAACCACATCCCTAGCTAAACAGTGTTGCTCCACATTAATTCGATCTTTATGAACCCTTGGCAGAGTCACATCCATGGACTCGAACATTGCCATATAATAGTCCAATGTCTCAATAAAACGTGGCAAGAAAGCAGCGGTATTTGTGTTACATTCTTGCTCCACAAGTGTCACCACTTTTGGGTTCAAGCCTTTAACCAGCCTAAGTAAACGATCCCTGTGATTCTCAGTGCTTACACTTTCGTCAGGCATATGATGCAGCATGAAAGCAAAATTCACTGCCAAAGCCTCACCACGTCGAATTCCAAGATCTTTCAACTGAACCCGACAACCTGAGATATCAACAGCATGGAACTCAAACGGAACCTTGAATGCCTGAGCTAACCTTGAAAGCCGCTGACCAACTATATTTAACCCCCCTCCACGAGCATATGCTGAATATGAGTCATCAATTCCAGTTACCCGGATGTGGGGGGCTCCACCAGGCCGGGCTGCAAATGCTTGTAGAAGAGTCACCCACTGGGTCCCTTGACCTATTTGGAAATCGATGATATGGACTCTCCTTTCATTTTTCATAGCTTCAGCAATGGCACCATTAGCGGACATGTAGCCAAACTTAATGTATGGACAGACCTCAAAAAGTATATGCAAGTAAGATAAAAGATCTGCACTCGCAGGCTCTTTGCTCTTCAATGCTTCGTAAATGGAGCTACCTGAAGAGGCCTGCCTTGCCACCAGCCCTTCCAACATGTATGCTCCTAATCTTTGAATTGGACTACCAGAGACTGATACCATCTGTCTCAGCTCATCCATCAGCCATTGGGCGACCAACTGATCATTCTCAACAACTGCTCTTGCACAGGCAACAAGAACCTGTTTCACGTCTTTGCAAGCGAGCATCTCAATCACTTTACCCCAGCTGTCCATCTCCAATGGGGTTACATGGGACCCGTCCTTGATCATGTTGCTATAGCCATCTGTAATATCAGTAGTATCAGGTCCCAGCATCACGTTTTCCAACTCCCTAAGCTTCCACTTCAAGTCACTGCAATCATCTGTAACACATGAGTTACTCACAGGTGAGTTATTGGCGTAATCAGGAGAGTAGTGTTGATCAGGCGGGTATGAACTGGAATCAAGTAGTGATCCAGGGCTTCCACTGGATGCAAAGGTAAGAGTAGACGCGGAGCTAAGCATCATATAGCTGCCAATTCCAGAGGATGATTCCAGTGTGTTGTACTGACCTGGGGAAGTTTTTGAGGTTGCATAACTTTCAGTGTTGAGGTTAGAATAGAGTTGAGGATTCAAAGGCTGACACTGAAGCATGAAATGTGTATCAACTTCTCTCTTAGGCTGATAATACAAACTGTTCGACATCGATGAGCTTAATACTGCCAAACAAATGTACTGTTCGTCCTTGTGAGAAAAACAAAATTTACCAAAAGTTCTCGCCAACAAATTTTATATCAGAAACTCAAGCGCTCATCCTGCTGGGTATCAACAGGTTGATTCGCCATTGCACCTCTTGCTTTCCAGCTACTCAAATTCATGAATACTTGTGAAAGTAATCGAAACCTGCAGAGAACAGAAACACACATTTTTAATGATCCATCCAGTGTGGAGAAAATTGTACATCGACCTAAGGAAATCTATCATTACATATGAAAAGTCATACATCTTTAAGATAGCATATAGAACACGAAGAAAGCAATGCAAAACCATGAAGAGGAGAACATGTCCAAATCAGAACATTAATTAGTCAATTCGAACAGACAACCCCTACCTCCACCCCTTCTTCCTCACCTCGCCAATACAAATCTGTTTTCTTTCATATTCATATGTTAATGTTCCATTTGTCGGACAGAAGAATTTGATCTGGGACAAGAGGAATCAGATTCCATGGTGTCCAACACTCTAACTACTTAGAAGCATCATACTGATATTTGATAGATACGGGGTAATTAGAAAAGAAAAAAAAAATAGTAACTTGCAAGTAAGTTATGTCTAGAAGAGGTACTCAATCAAAGGAAGACTAGAAAGCAAAGTATCAAAAAGTAAAAATTATAAGAAAAAGTATACAATTACAAAGTCTATAGACCAACATTATTCACAAACCTGTCAATTTGACTTAAACCTCAAATATCCTTGTCCTGTATTCTCTTTCCATTGAAGTCAAGTTGATAGACAACATGTATTACTATGACTAAACAACCAATCTTACACGCACAATTCGGATTCTCCATTCTAGAACAAAAATTCTTGAAAAATCCAAAAAAAAGAATTAGAAAAAAATGGCACCTAAATTTAGCTATTACCAACCATTTGTTTATGAGATGCCAGGTTATCTCTCATATAAAATCTTTCCAAATTCTCCCCTTGTCCAATTCTTACGATGATCGAAAGTGATCGATTTGTCCACTCGAGCAAGAGAATAATCGGACTAAACTTTCGTTACACTTAAAATAGACCTTGAAGCTGACCTATTCTTTTGGGAATAAGGCTTTAGTATTGGTGTATGTTGTTGTCAAAAACGGCCTTAGAAATACTCGAACCAAAGTTATTTTTTTCCTGGTTTTTAATTTCTTTTCATTGAACTTTATCTTTAAAGGAGCTAAGAGCATCCACCAATTAAAGAACCTACAAAATTAACAATTTCTTGTACAAAAAGTGGAAATTCTACATAAATTATGAAGGAATCAGAATATCAAAATTAACATGTCTACTTCATTTTAGCTTCTTTATATACCCTTTAATTATCTGGGTTCTAGAAACAAAAATTTCCAAATTCTTGTCAATGCATAGAATTTTGCAACCATTGATACTACAGAAAAACTGACATTTTCAGGAATCAGGATCTAAGCTGGTGATGATTATGTCATCATGTTGTAAGCTTCCAAAACAAATGTTCAAGCAGAAAGTTTAGTATATGAACAATAAACATAAACAAAAACATAATCCCAAGATCTAACAGCAACCCTTTAAGCGGGTTTTACTGTTCGTGTGTATGAGATTGATCAAACTCGGATATTAACATAAAATAATTCAAGTACAGTAAGATGAGTGTGATAACATTGAAACCAGGACTTAAATTTTTGTACTTTAAACAGTAAGTTACACAACAAAAAAATTAATACTTTTTAACAGTCAAAGAAACATCAGCTCAAAGGAAGTAAGAAAATAATTGAAAAGAAACCCAGAATTTCCAAGAATATCATTTATAGTGTGAAATTGTATAATCAGATGTTGCTTTAGACATACCTTGGTTAGTTGAAGAGAGGAATATGTTGTTTTAAGAGAGAAAGAGAAAGAGAGAGAAGCAGAGGAAAAGAGAGAGGTGATGAGGGACAGCAATTGCAGAGTGCTATGAGTAAGAATAGCACCTGTGTGGATTATAATATTACATTCTAATCATATTGCCCTTGGTTTCTCACATAATTACTTAAATGCCCCTCTTCACCTTGTATTGATGTTGTTCTCTTCGTCTTATTCTTATTGCTCGGACTTTCTTTGTTTTGTTTGACATATTTTTATGTTTAACATGCTCTTAACGCTCCACTTAGTTCATTTTATGATTAAATGAGACTTTTATTGACAAATGGGAATAGAGGTAGAGATGATACTTTTTACTTATTAAGGCTAATTACAATTCGAATCGACCAAAAAGGTACATATTAGAGTAGATCTTTAAAAAATTATTTTAACATGAAGAGAACACATTCTAGTTACATAGAAATTATTACTTTCTTCGTCCAAATTTAGCGTGCTAACTTGTCATGGCACTAGGATGTTAGTGGGTGTGGCCTGGGTTTTATAGGAAAAATAGGCCATTTAGGTCGGGATGATGGGTGAAGGTTTTGGGGTGATATACTGATAACTCTAATAAGGTGAGGATAGAGATAAAAATTGCACCTGTCATGTGTGTTGTAGTGTGGTGTGGTGGGTATAGATTTAGGGTGTACCCATCTGCCCCTATCCATCCTCACTAAATTCTATTATGGAGTAATTTTTAATATACTTTTTACATGATTTATTTTATATTTTTAAAAAAAGTGTTTTTTTTACTAAGTATAATAATATAAAGTTGTATTAAGTAAATAATACTCCCTCCGTCCCATAATACATGAGACGTTGGACTTTTTTTTCACTATTCATGCATTAGGTTTGACCATAATTATTTTTTACTAACATAATAAAAATATATTTTATCATAAAATATGTTGTTAGATAGGTTTTAATATAAGTTTCATAATATAATTTTTAAAATAATTTTCATTAATATTTAATTATACTACGTACAAAATTAAAGTTAAACTAGTGCATTGGCAAATGTGCAATGTTTGACTGTGACATGTATTATGAGACAGAGAGGGGGTACTACACATTCAACTATATTACTATATTAGGGTTTTAATTACTATATTAGGGTTTTATTATACTGCATTGATCAAGTTGAATCTGATTCAACATGTGAGGTAGATTATAGGGCAGTTAAAGTAGGGGTCGGTATTTGGCAAGAATGGGTACTTGATATGATGTGGCAAGGATGGATCGAGTTTTGTATCTGGGTACAACAGGGATGAAGAGGAATTTTGTCATAAACATATAGAGGGAAAAATTATATGGGGAAAATTTTATTTAGGAAATAACATTTGCAATTCTAGATCTGCCCTCCTCGTTCATAAACTTATGATACATAACTTAATTAGGACTTAGGAGATAAGTCAATGTTTGATGTTTGAATTTTTTTATATCATAATAACAAAATATGTGTAATGAGATATTTATGCGACACTTTTTTACTAGAATCCTAGCTTAAAGTATAAGGGTAAATAAATATAAAAAAGTTTTGGTTAAAATAAGAGGATTACGTTGTACGTATCTATTAATTCTTATTTTCTTGACCCGTAAATAGTCGAATACTTAATGTCTTGAAGATTTACATGTTAAATAATAAAGTTAAATTTACAAGGTGTTGATGCATATTCATTTGATCCCATATTGACCTAACCTAATTTGTATTAACAAATCTAGAATTTAATCCAACTCGAACAAATACAACTTTAATCTATTCTAAGAACTTGTTTACTAGCTTATTAAAAATAAAAAAGAAATCATTTTTAAAATGAGTGAGATAATGAGCACAAATAAATTCTGAATTAAGTTGCACTAACATACAAAAACAAAGGCGTAAGAATACAGATGTTGGGGAAGGTGACCCACATCAATCGCTAGGAATGAAGAGATAGAGATCTCAGTACAATTTTAGTCTTTCGTGACGTGGTAACCAGTGCCTTCCACTTCAGCCTTCATCTAACGTTAACCTTTTTTTTTTCTTTTTTTTTTTGGTTAACCTTTTTTTCTCGTCTTGTGTGCTTCCTTTTTTTTCGTAACTAGCATCAAGTTACTCTCTTAGTTCTCAAAACCCTACTAGTGATGAGATTAAATTACTATGGAGTATTAAAAAATGTATTTATGTGAAATGTTATCCAATTGACCGGAAGAGAATGATGTGTTTAGGATTAAGAGTCCATTTTATTCTCTTTAGTTTCATTTATTTAAATTTTAATGAGTCCACATACGTTCAATTCAGGAATAATTATTTTTTATAAGGTTATCCAAATTTAAATTACAAGCTTTAATAAGTTCTAGTGAGTTTAAATAAGCTCTAATGAGTTCAAATAAGTTCAATTAAGTTTAGATAAGATAAGTTTTAATAAATGAAAATCAAGTTAATAGAATACATATTATTTTTATAATGATATACGAAATATAATGAGAAGTTTTGAGATGTTAGGATTGTTTCTAATAAACGAGATATCTAAAAAAAACACACTTTTGAACAAATTAGGTAATGATATTGTCGTTATAACGCTCATCCTATGACCTATTTACATCAAAATCATATCAAGTTTAAAGATATCCAATGCAAAAAAGTTACCTTATATATATTTGATGTACACTTATATTAAATTGTACATCGAGTGTGCACAAACATTTTCATTTCATGTCTAATAAGCTTAAGGATAATAAATAAGGATAATAAAGAGAATTCGGATTATATGAAGTATTGTATAATCTAATATCATATCATATCACTAATAAATAAAGTCGGTCTCGCAGCCAAGCCACGAAACAATGATACTTGGCATTCCAGTTTTTCGCCAAGTGTCGCGCCACGTAGGCGATAAATAGGTATTATTGTAACACGTATGATGCAAATTAAGCGATTTTTGGATAGATTTTTAAGATAAAATTGGTGTATAGAGTTTTATTATTGATAGAATTCTAATATTTCATATATACAAAATTAATAATAACTTTTAATAAATATCCTATAACTCAATTCTATTTCAATCATCAAATTCGTTTTAAAAAGTTCTTTAAAATAAGATCTATTTATAATATATTTAATAAAAAAACTTTTATATGTAGCTGGTCAAACCGTGTCACCAACCATTATAAGAGTTACTTCGTTAGTGCTATAGGGGGATACTTGGTAAGTGTTATAGATAAGGGTTACTTAGTCAGTGTTAGAGGTTACTCAGTTAGTATTACAGGGGTTACTCAGTCAGTTTTATAAGGGTTACTTTGTCAGATGGTGTGGCTAGCTGCATACAAAATACGTTGTTATTTAATTTATTTATAAAAAAAATAGAGAGTCAGTAAAAATAAGTTTTAATTAGTAAAAATAATTTTAGTTTGGTAAAAATACTTACTTTCAGTTCATTGAAAATAATTTAAGCTCAATAAAAGTAATTTTAAGTCAATAATAACATAGATATCTATTTACAAACAAAACTACAAAAAGTACACTATTATATAAATATAAGCCATATGATATCGTATGTCTAAATATCCTACATTATCATAACGGATTATATGACCGCATTTAATATTCAAGTAAAAATGTTATCTTAAAATTTTATGAACCATCTGGGCATCGCCCGGGTATAAAACTAGTATATAAATAAAGTAGACATTTTTCAATAGCATTCGGAGCGCCACACAAGCAATCTAATTATTTCGACCAATGATAAAAGAGATTTATATTTATTTTTAAATTAAAAAATTATATCGCCACATACGTAAAAGTAACGATTTAGATTTGATATATCTAAATTTTTAATGCCACGTAGATTAAAAAACACGAATAAAATTATTTTATAAATTAATGGTAAAAAAAAATAAAGAAAAGAAATATAGGAGAAAAGAAATTTATTAAATCATTACTATGACTATAACAAATCCAAATTAAAGCCAACTTTGTTCAACACTTTCGTCCAAAATTGATTGAAGAATAAGTTTACTCCATTAGATACTTTTCAGTCGTTCTAAATAAGAAGCAATATCGCATTGTCAGTGACAACAAAATAATGATTTAATTTTTCCAAAATACTATTGTTCGGGCGATTGGAGATGATGAAAAAATTCCAATGTATAAATTTGATTTTGTACAACTACAATTTTTAGATCAATTTGGCAATAATTTTTCACTTCTTGGTAAATATCTTGATTTATTTTATAAATTTGTAAAGATTAATTCTATATCAATTTTATTTTTGCTAACATTTCTGTCAAATACGGGTTTGGGCCATACCCGCAAACCAAGAGAGAGGTTCCACTTCACAAGTCCAAAGGAGGTTTCATCCCAAAACCATATGGCAATAGGAGGAGTAGCTCCTTAGCCGTATAAAGTGTTTAACTCTCTCTTCTTTTATCAATGTGGGACTCTTACATGTGTTATTTAGTGGGATATACTTCAACACCCCCCCCCCCCCTCACCCTTCACATATAAGGTCCCTTTAACTCAAGGGTAACATAATCCAATTTAATTTGGCCCAAAATACTTAATGCCATTAAAGGTCCTAAACCATGAGCCTAGCAATATACTCAAGCCATTAGAGGTCCCAAACCGTAGGCTTGGCTCTGATACCATGATAAACGAGCCTAGGCCATACCCGTTACAAGTGTCTACTATACAAGTCTAAGGAAGTTCCACCTCAAAAGCATATGGCAATGAGGGGAGTGACCCCTTAGCCTTATAAAGTGGACACAACTTTATCTTTTCTTCAATGTGGGATACACATCCCAATATTTCTCTTCACTTTTATACTCTTTCAATGTGGTACAATACTTTCACTCACATATGAGTTTTCTCATGGGCTCAACACTCCCTCTTACATGTGAGTTGTCCATAATACTGG